ACCCCCTAAAGCAAACCAATAGATGACTATCTTAAATAGTTTAAAGCCAAATGAAGCGCCCTCTCTGAACTTGATTAAAAATTAAATTACGTGTTTACAGGCAACTGTTGCCAACATAGCTTTTAATTGGTGAAAAATCAACGTATATGATTTGTTACTTCAATTGCGCTATATTTAAAATCACACTTGTGGCTAGATTTTAAATGTGATAAGAAACGAAAACAACTTTTATAAACTAAAGAAATTCACAGATTTATGAAAAAGCAATGAGGAAAACAAATGTATGTAAATGTAAAACAAATGTATTTAGTATTCATTTGTAAAATCTGCGATTTTTTAATTTGTAAAACTCGTTGAATCATTATCATAATTATTTCTAAAAGTACCATTCATATGGTAAGAAACATTGTTTTTGTTATTCATTGATCAATATTTTGAAATTAAAGAAAATACACTAATACACACAATCTTATAAAAATGCGATAACTACGGATATAATTGAACGTCAAAAACCTCAAAACGTCAAAAACCTCAAAACGTCAACAACCTCAAACGTCAAAAAACTATAAAATCCCTAGCGCCCTCTCTTGGCTTGGCTAAATATAATACTGTCCCGACATCTGACATAAGATATTTATCTATTGGTTTGGTCTAGGACTTACCCAATGGCATAGATAACAATGGTCAATTAAGTTACCAGCAGGAGCAGTAACGTATGTGACGGTAACTTATGTGACATTCGGCCGTTAAATTTAAAAAATGCCGCCATAGACAGAAACGTAAACAAGCTAACTTGGTTTATGTTTAATACTGATACTGTTAGATTATGTGTCTAAATTAAAAGCCGTTGAAATTACAACAATAAACTAATAAATTCAACAACTTAAGTGACCCATAATAGACATGTTTGTAGCACTTGGATTTTTATTATTATTTTATTTGATGACATACAAATACATGACACTGACACTGGCGATAAAACTTGCACGTTAACCAAACCCGAACACTTTTCATTACAGAGCTGCTAATTTGGAACAATATTCTCTAAATTACAGGGTAACATATGTGACCAATAGGGGACATACGGGGACAAATAAGAATCCAAAATAAAATCGACTTGTGCTATTAGTGTTTTAATTGATGTAAGTGAACTGTGGACAAAAAATTTTGAAAAGACTGAGGTCACTTATGTTAGACCAATTTCTTATAAAGGCACATTTAAATTTTATCAAATGCTGCAAAATAAGAATCGTTTTTTTTTAACTCTCAGTTAGGTATAGAAAATAAGTTTAATTGTTTTCTAAACAAACTCTTATATTACAGAAATCTTGCATTGCCAGTCATTAAAGAACGATGTGTTTCAGGAGGCAAAAACAAAGTTGTATCCCAGACAGCATCCAATTCAGAAAGATTTCTGTACGAAGTCTGTTGAAAAACATCTTACTGAGGTCACAATATGACATCTTAGAGAAATCATTTTAAGGAGCTCAAGATTAAGAGTTCTTGATGAATTCATAAATGAGAAGTCAATTTTTTAACATCTTAAAGTATCTTTTTTTCTGACCTCTTATTGTAATCAAAATTAGAAGCTACTAAGGGTATCATAAATAAGACTTCAGTTATATGATATCTTACAGTATTCTCTCTTCTTACTTCTTACAGAAATCATATTATTAACTCTTTAAGACGTCAACATGGAGACGTCACATTTATGACATTTTAATGCGATTACTTTCTTCTCACCGCTGTAACTGCTTGTGTTTGATATAAGAAGCGGCGAAGTAGAATTTAGAGCGTGCTCCATTATAGAGCCTCCATAACAAACGGTTTTAGACCTAGGTAAACGGCTACCCGATACAGGCCGTCTATCGGTGCCGGTGAAGAGCACGCTTGAGCAAATTATTAAAATGATTTTAATAAAATCAATTTAACAAATTAATAAAATAAACTTGACATGTCAAACTAAGCAACGATCCGGAAAGTAATTTTTTTATCAGTACCCTAGTAGTAATGCTATATCCAAAACGGAAAATTCTAAAGAAGTCTTTTTATAAGTTTATCTAGGACTCTTTAAAATGCTTAATTGCGAAGTCAAAGAAAATGGTTCCTCAAGAGTTCTTGATTAGTTCAATAGGTAGCGCATTCGAAGTCTTAAGAACTTCTTAAAAACTTCTTTCTGATGTTGTATTTGACGTCCAAATCATAAAATAGAGCTTATGCAGACTTAATTAAGACGTCATATTGCTGTCTGGGATGGTTTAGTAAAGAAACTCAAAACATTAGGAGACATTTAAAGCTCTTAAATGTCTGTACTCCAACTTTAAAACACAAAGATTATCTAATGAATTAATGTGCAGGAGGGAGCGGTTGTATTTTCAGTGGTGCATAATATGCATATGGATATTATCCTGCAAGAGGCACATATCGCGGTATATTAGAAGCCCTGCGGTGTTGCCTCAGGGTATTTCCACGAAAACTCACCCCACCTTGACAAAAAATTAGATGTGTTATTTAATAAAATAACAACTATATCTGAAGTCAAATAATAATAACCTTAAAATATTCCTACATTGTGACGCTAAGCTAACATTAAGAATAAACACGGAAGAGTTTCAATACTCGATAAAATGTTAGAAAGTAAAGTATACAATATTTGGGCATTTAAAATACGTGCTTGTTTAAGGTTAATATTTAAGTTTTACACAAAAAATTATTACTATATGCTTTCATCCAAAATTTTACAGTATCAACTTTAGAAGCCAACTTGGTCGCATTTGCCGATTTTCTAAGGTCGCGCCCGTTACGCTATTGACGTTATAAAAGGTTTTCTATACAAGTTTTTATTGACATTTTGTTTGAGTTAAATACCTAATTTTTTATACTATTTTATTATCATGAAAAAACGCAGTTTTAGTGTCGCACCCGTTACAATGGAAATACCCCTCAGTTATTTATTCAAAAACTATCAATATTGATATTGACATATTTATTAAATATAATTTAAATAATAAAGTTTATTTGGCTTGTTATAAATTAAAATCAATGATATCAATAACATAAATAGTATAATATATTATAATATTATATTATATGTAATTAGTTGCAGATTTTGTTATTATTATATATATATATATATATATATATATATATATATATATATATATATATATATATATATATATATATATATATATTATAAATAAAGAGCACACTAAAAAGTATGAGAATATGCATCTACAGGGGGAGGAATTATGTTATAACTTATTAACAATCGGAAACCCAATTTATATAAACTGGCGCTTCTCATTAAATTTTTAAAATTTAAAAATCATTTTTTTAAATCAGGTGCACCAGAACTGGTCACAAAAGCATTAATATATTAATTTTGAAAATGTGCTCATTTTTATTCATTATCTTAATTACCATTCGTATTCTCATCGATCAAAAGGGCGGAGCCTTTCGTTGAGATTAGCAGCGCATAGAACATCAAAATTATGCACTCTTTTGCAATAAAGAGTTTAGAAATGATTTTTAACTTAAAAAACGGATACAAATTGCCAGTTATTTATAGCTCTGTTATACTCGAACAAAAATGGAAAATACCTTGGAGGGTAATACCCTCAGGGTATGTTTAAAGATTTAATTTTTGTCGTTTTTTATGAAAATATGTCAATTAAATTTTATTTTAAATTAAAGTTTTTTACAGTTTAAATCAAAAGTACAGATAAATATTTAATATTTTTAATATCTAAAACTTCCATTCAAATTATATTAATCTAATATTAACTTTAAGAAATTAATAATAACGATTTTTGCATGATTTACAGGTATGTATTCAGGTATAAAAAGCCTAACATTAAAAATGTTTATAACTTTCTAAATATTAATAGTAATTAAGTTATCTTTAAGCGTTCTATAATTTAAGCTTAATTATTGTCAACGCTTACTACGAAAGAATTCGATAATCTCCTAGGCTGTAAAAGGTGAAGTTTTTTTCATCCTATTCTGTAACTATCTAACCTCACTTTATACTTTAATAATTGATATTATAATTGTAAGTACGTTTTATGTATCGTTTAAAAAATAAAAATGTTCATTAAAGATAAAATGTTGTATGTATTTCGGCTGAAACGTGTCTTTTTGTTCTTCACTCAATTGTAAGCCTTATAATCATATATGTCCATACAATATATTATATATGATCATACATAATTATATAAATAAGTACCTATATAGTTATATGATTATAGGTATATAAAAAAAATTATCGGGTAATATACCTACTTACAAAAAGGAGTGGACATAAAACGGTTATTTGGAATTTGTTTACATTTCTATAAGTAGCTATAATTATTTGTTTGTGGGATAACATTTTTAGTGTTGAAAAAAAAGGTGAAATAAAAAATATACATAATTTATTATAATTATATTATGTTGTTTAACAAGTCCCAAACTTTTAGTGATGATTGTTATAAAGTTAGTATAGTATTACAAAAAGTTCTTATGGTTTTACAAAAAAATCATTAGTGGCTGACTTTTATAGCAATTACTTCAAAATTTAAAAAAATCGTTTTTTCGTGTATATAGAGGTGTTTAATAATTAGTTAACTATTTAGTAATCCGTTTTTTTTTCGTGTGTAGAGAACGGTTTAGTAATTAGAACCTACTTACTAAAAAATTAAATTGGGGAGAGCTTTGCTATTTTAAGAATGAGTGTTTGTGTGTTTAGTAATGATTCCCAAACTCTTGGGTTTAATCATTGTTAAACACACAAATACTAATTCTCAAAATGTTAAAGCTGTCCCCACCAGTTTTCTTCGTGTGGTATTGGGTTAAGAAATTCATTAATAGGTATAACTAGATAATTTCTACTTAAAAAAATTTTATTAAACGTAAATATAGGTACCTAAATCTGTTATATGTTATATATAATTTATTTCTTTGAATTGCATTAGCCAGCATAATCATAACATGTACCTACCAAGGTATATTTTACTTACCGAATTAAAATTTTATAGTCACAAAATATATTATTTTCACCAAAGAGTAAGGTTTGTACGTTTTCAACGTTTTTATACTAGGTACACGGCTTTAGTCCGGAATGGCAACCGCTCGATCAACAGTCGGTTTTATACTGGCCTGGGCTAAATTGAAACCTCCCTTACGTTTCAACCATCTGTCTGCTCTTCTACGTTGCTCCTGGAACAGCTCATGTGACTTGTTGCAGATTTCATGGTAATAAAATTACACAACTTTTCATTAAATTACTTTAAATAATTTACCAATACTAATTATTTCATTAATAATTTATAATTTACTTAAAGCCAAACTTAAATTAAAACTTTTAATAATCGTTCGACCGTTAACTAAGTAACTAACTAACTGTAAAAAAGGGGATCAATAGAGGGTATTTATGACAATATATTCTAATAAAATTTTAAGCGCACTTTTGTTTTTATTAGCAAGATGTTTTTAATAAAATATATTATATAATATTACACTGAAACAATTATTAACACCTACAATACTGTGTTTCTTTACTGGCCGAGATTATAATCTATATATCTATAAGTGATTTTACATTTTTGTTACATTGGGTTTTAATAATATTTACCTACAATGTGTTCAATGCAGAGCTGGCCAAGTACTGAGTACTTTTACTCGTATTTCAAATACTCATAAGTATTTTTAATTTGAAATACTTATTAATCGTACTTACAAACCAAATTCAATGTACTCGTAAAAAATACTCGTGGAATTCACGAGTAATATATACGAGTATTTCCGTTTATTATATCTATGACTTTTTTCCAAAATATCGTCTGTTTTAAATTATATAACCCAGATAACATTCGTGAGTTCACCGTGAATGCACGGTGAAAAATATTGCTTCACGCGTGAATTCACGGTTGCTAAAAGATGCGTCCGCCCCTGGAATTCACCGTGAATGCACACGTGAAGATATATCCGCCCATTGAATTCACCGTGAATGCACACGTGAAGATGCGTCCGCCCCTTAAATGCACACCTAAATTCACCGTGAATGCACACGTGAAGATGCGTCCGTCCCTTAAATTCACCGTAAATGCATGCGTGTTCTAAATTCGCGCGAAAAAAATGAAATAAGGGTGCATGTTCAGAAAACATATTTTCCCCTATAGAGTAAAATAAGTTTTCTGAACAAAAAATGTGCATTCACCATAATTTCAATTTTTTCGCGCGAATTTTAGCATGCATGCGCACTCACTTCGAGCTTCACTTGTGCATTTACGGTGAATTCAAGGGGAGGACGCATCTTCGCGTGCGTATTTACGGTGAATTTCGTGCGTATACTCAATTTTTTTTGCACTTAATTTTAAATTGGAACACAAAATAAAACGTGTTATTTTTTAAAATAACAGATTTTGGTTATATTTGTAAATAAAGTCAAATGAAAAATGTTAAATAAAGAAGTGATTTATGTCCAATTGGAGAATATTTTTTTAGACAATTATGCCATCCACGCCGACGGTGGTCTAGTGGTTAGCGCTGCTGACTACAAGCCGGAGGTCGTGGGTTCGAATCCCACCAGGGGTATGTCTGTTTATTTGTGTTTGTCCTATTGTGTATTAGTCCTTCGAAAGGGACTTTAAACCCGCGGTCCGTTCCTACCCCTAACCGGCACAAGCCATTCAGTTGGCTTATGGGACTTCTTAAGAAGTAAGGGTGGAACTAAAAGAGCACTTTTGTATAAACTTTGTATAATTAAACTTCAGGTACAATAGTATACTGAAATAAAACACAAAGTGTTATGTTGTAAAGTTTATTCCGAATCAACCTCAGAGGTTTCAATGTCCTCTTTAACCTTAGAAAAAATATGAATTATAACATCAATAATACTAATTAATGCATACACATGAGTATAATACTGTATAATAATCTACAGATAAGTATACTTACTTATTCATCACTGGACACATCATCAAATGAGTCAAATAACTCATCATTTTTTCCCCTTATTTTATTTTCTTTTTGGTCCTTAAAAAATATATAAATTATAACATTATTAATGGATTAAAGCATTTATTTACAAGACTCATTTTATAAAATTTAATAAATATTATTTAAAAAACGCTTAGAACAAAAAAAAATATTTGTTTTTGTGTATAAAGAAAAGTCTTGCGATAGCTAATAAAAATATTCTGTATTAATTAATTAATTCATTTATTTTCTTGATTAAAAAATTGTAAAATATTTGCGACTGTATATTTACTAATAAAAATATTAAAATGGATGTCATATTTTGAATTCAAATAAAAACAAATCATTCAAACCAATTCAGCCGAGCGCGGCTTCGACTCATGAGGCGCGGAGCCTTGCAGTAAAAAATTAATAATGTTTAAAGTAATGCCGGGCAGTGAAATTTTTTTTTCAGGATATGAAACCTTTATATCCAGTACATGTAACCATGAAAAAAACCTTGATTATTTGATAGAGACTTTATCAAAAATTTGAATTGTATATTTCAATGATCAAAAAAAGTATAAAAAAATTTAAAAAAAAGTCCTGAAAATTTCACTACGAAACTTTTAACAGTTTGTTTACAATTATTTTTTTAATTAAAAGTGAGAAAAATCTTTGTTACAAAAAAACTGTTAAAATTAAAATAAAAAAAAAATTATTTTAAGGAAATATTGTTACTAATGACTACTAACGATTGATGTAGGTATTAAAATTTAAATTCTATTACCAAGTGGGAAATGGGGGGTCCACTTAAGTCCACGTCAATTGACGTGATCTGACTCAAAAACAAAAACAATGAATAAAAACTTTATAAAAAAAATATAACCACAATAAAGCGTTATAACCATGGTTATTCATTGTTTTTGTTCTTTTTGCAATAATTGTAACAATTATTATCAGTGCACTGATCTACTATAGTATACAATAAAATTCGTATCTTAAATTTGATCATGCTAAAATATAAAAATGTCAAACTTACCTTTGAAATTCCTGGCTAGCAACTTAAGTATTTATTGAACTGAATACCTATATATTATAAAACTGAAAAACTGAACCAAGATACATACACCTTGAAACTGAACGTTTATCTCTGAACCATAGAAAAAGGATATGAACTGAACGTTTTACCGGTATACAGGATATCTAGCTAGATGTTTACCATATATGGTATTCTATAGAAAACCTCGTGGCTCTTAGCTGCGTACGCACACTAACGCTGCAGTGTTGCCGGATTGCAGCCGGATGATTTTCGTGAAAGTTCCCGACCAAAAATTACAAAATACTAGAAATTATCCACACGAGTAAAAATTTCTAGTACATTTGCTCAAATTGGAAAAGTGAATTAAATTTTGAATAAATTAAGAAAAAAATAAAAGGATATAATTAAAGAATTATGTTTAGTTAGTAGTTGTACAATATTATTTACTGAAAATTTCTTTGAAAAGTAAAATTTATAAAATACCTGCTTCAATTTTTTCTTGCAAGCATGATGAAATACGCGATTTTCGGGTCAAATACCTGCAAGCGGCAACCCTGCATTTAGTTGAAATGTGACGGCCATAGGCGCATGCGCACGAGTGCCCGCGTATTTGGTTTTGCAATTATTATATATAATTATTATTACCTATAGGTATATTAAATATTAATAACTGATATTAATTAAAAAATGTACTTTTTTATTTTCCGTTTAATATTTAATAAAAATCTTTAATTAATATTCCTTTAATGTTATGTTTTCTTTTTCTTATTTCGAATTCGGTCTTCAAATTTATTTTAATAGGGTAGGTATACCTTCCCTATCAAACAGAGGTATAGCTAACCTATCAAAATAAATTTGAAGATCTTTAATTAAACGTACTAACAGATCTGTATAAAATCTTGGAGATTCACGGCGTGCGTCCGGTGTGAATTAAATGTGCATAAGAAATGTTAGGGGGCATACATTAATTACGTGAGGTGTTTAGGGGAGGGTGGTCTCGGCAAATATCACGTAATTTTTGAAAAAAAATTAAACAGTGTAAAATGGTGAGAAAACTGGGTTAAATTAAGTAAACAATTATAACAACTGTTTTTTTTTAATAAATCTAATGGAATCAATCACAGATTAACTTATTTACATTAAAACAATGCATTATAAAACATCTCACGTGAGATTAAGAGGGACGCGGTCCGGCAAAATCTCACGACATCTCTCCAAGGGGAGGGGGGGAGTCGAAAAATCGCCAAAATTGCCTCACGTAATTAATGGATGACCCACGGTAAATTCACGATGCACTTAATTTTAAAGATTCATGGCGTGCGCCCGGTGTGAATTTAATGTGCATTACGAATGTAATTTGGAAACTCACAGTGGATTCACGATTAATTAATTTTTAAAGATTCACGGCGTGCGCCCTATGTGAATTAAATGTGCATTACAAATGTTATCTGTGAACTCACGGTGAATTCACGATGCCTTCAATTTTGAAGATTCACGGCGTGCGCCCGGTAGGAGTTTAATGTGCATTCAGGAATGTAATTTGGAAACTCACAGCGGATTCACAATACATTTATTTTTAAAGATTCAGGGCGTGCGCCCGGCATGAATTATATGTGCAGTAAGAATATTATCTGGGAACTCACAGTGAATTCACGATGAATTCATTTTTAAAGATTCACGGCGTGCGCCCTATATGAATTAAATGTGCATTACAAATGTTATCTGTGAACTCACGGTGAATTCACGATGCATTCAATTTTGAAGATTCATGGCGTGCGCCCGGTGTGAGTTTAATGTGCATTCACGAATGTTATCTGGGAATATATAGTATAATATAATATATTATAGCCTATAGGTTTTATAACAAGTACATATATATATAAAATTTTGTTTTAAAGCGTTCTTGAAGACCATAATAAAACTAAAAATGTTACTTGGGTTATAAACTATTTAAGAATTGTTATTTTTATTTATTATTTTATGTATATTTGTATTTTTATAGCTCATACCAAAGTATGTATAATGTATAAAGAATAATCAACTATATTAACTAACATTTATTTTAAAAGTTCTCGTACTCTTTACTCGTGTTTTCACGATTACTACTCGTAACCGTAACCTCTCTTTCCAAATG